TGCCATTTCAAAGTTTCAGAGCTGTGTGGCCTGTGGACTCAGGAGTGGGGGACACAGCCCCTAGTTCCTTCAACCTCCCTCCCACTGCCCGCTGCCAGAGGCTGCCGAGAGAAATGTGGGCAAACCACACTGAGCAACCCAGGCCTCCTAAGGGCACTTGGGGGTGATGGCAGCCCCAGGAAGGAGTCCTCAATAAAGATCCAAGGTGCTAACAAGATGTCAATGCATTAACTCCACTTGAAGGGAGGAAAAGTGTCAATTACTGGTAACGTGAAACAAGAGAGTGGGAAATTGCAAATGACAATCTTTTTAAGACAGCCCTGGGGCCACTTCCAGCTGACCCTGTACATTAACCAAGCAGGGAGATTTTTTACTTGGCTGCTCCCTCCTGCGTCCTTAATAGCATAAATAAAAAGATTTTAGATAAGATTTCATTCTGTGAATCAATTGGCAAACCACACTAGGCTTCCCGGGGCATTCTGGTCTCAATCTAATGGAAATTATTATTTTTCTTAAACGAGAATATCGATACTAAATTGGACCCCATAGCAGACAGCATATACAAAGGATTTCATTTCAGCTGGCTTCTCTGGCTCCCACGGAGCTTTGCTTAACCCAGTACCTGCCAGCATCCCAGGGAAAGGGTGGGAGAATGCGCTGGGAGAAGGAAATCCCAAATCCTTGCTGTGATGGAATAGCCAGAAAGTTCTGGCCCCTTGCTAGTTTTCCTGGTTTTTCACACTGGTCTTTGTTCTGCTCCTCAGACACCACACTCACCCCAGGACCTCTGTGCCTGTAGTTACTTCTGCCTGGGATACTTCCTCTCATTTCCCTGCTCTTGGCTTTCCCCACTGCAGCTGACAACTCTCCACTTAAAAATCACTTGCTCAGTGAAGCTGGGCGTGACCACAACCCTGCCCTGTTATTCGTGCCATCAGCATTCACAACCCATGGCAACTATAACTACATAATAATTTATTTAATGTTTCTGCTGCTTCTGCATAGACAGGAGGACATCTATGTCTAGTTCATTGCAGTCTCTACTTGGCAGTGGCCAGTTGTTCTAATCAGGAATGCGTTCTCTGGGGGTGACTGTCAGAAAGATCACACTCCAGAGGCAGCATCTTCAATGGCACCACTACCTTTATGCCAGGTCAACCCCAGAGGCTTCTCACTAATTGGCCCAAGGAGCATTAGACATGAGTGGTCATGGGCGGAAGTCAGGGCTGATGCTTGGCAAAGTGGATGTGAGAGATGCAGCGTTTTCAGTGGCAGCAGTGCTTTTGAAGATAAGTGGACGAGGGGGATGTCTTAGAGCTGCTCCCTGCCCTTGTGGGAGCCCCGGGGTTTAAGAATCGAGGGCTGCCCCATCTCATGCAGTAGCCACAAGTCACACTGTTGTTATCTTGACTTCAATGTCAATTAACTAAAATTAAATGGATACTTCACCTCCTCAGTCACACTAACCGCATTTCAAGGGCTCCATTGGCACCTGTGGCTGGTGGCTACCACATGGCACAGTGCAGAATAGAACATTCCATGACCATAGAGAGGGCTATCGGCCACAGCTGCTCTAGGGGATGGTGCCCTGGGATGGATCCCTAAAAACCCCCATTCCTGACCACCATGGATGCTAGATGAATTCTACTGCTGCAATGCTGTGGCCTTTGCCCCTGGCAGCTCCTTATGCAAAGCATTCTCTGAGCCTCGGGAAGGCCTGAGATCTGGCGGTCCAGGAGCTTCCAGACCGGCTTGTGGAATTGTCTTCCTCTGCCTGTTAATAAATTGTCATTGGATGTGGTCTGAGAGGTGCCTTCATCAAAACCTGGATGCCAGCTACCAGCTACTCCATTTATTCTTGTAGTTATTTAACAAACATTTATCGAGTACCTTCTATCTGCCAGACACCTTTTTGAGTGTTGGGGACACAGCAGAGCACAGGCGTGCAAGTATCTGCTCTCATGGAGGTTGCATTTTGTGGTACTGGCAGGGAGGACAGACACCCAGGAAACAAACAAATGAATTAGATGTTGTCGCAGAGCGATGAACATAGAAGAGAAAATCAGGCAGCATGCCAGGATGCAGGGCGGCCTGGCACAGGGGAGCAGGCACTTGATGGAACAGAGGGCCATCCACAGCAAAATCCCAGTCCAGGATGCTGGGATTCCAGCATTCCAAGGTTCTCTACTGTCCCTCGATTCCCAGACCTCCAGATGGCTACATTGTAAAGAAGTCCCGCTGGGGAAGTTCCCGTGCCTGGGTCTTCTACTAACTTTCCTTTTGACCTTAGCAAAGTCATTGGCCCAGCTTGGGTCTCCCTCTGTTTTCCCATGTGCAAACTGCAGGCTTTGGACCTCCTGACTTTCAGACTGTGAGCTGTGACCCCTTAAGTAGGTTGTGAAGTCAAGTTGACAAGTGGCAACCATCATTTTGCAGAGAAAAGGAAAGAGAACCAATGGAAAATAGAGGATATTGCACAGAGGAAGATAGGTTTCCTGTACCTTTCACGTGTGTGTGTATGTGACGTGCACAGGTACTGGGTCGCTGTGTCAGCTGCATTTCTTCCTGTGAGCTGCTGTCAAAAGACTGGAAAGCTCTGCTCTGTATCGCCTCCTGGGCCTTCTGATTTGAATCTACTTCGAATCTGTTCTTAACCCGTGGGACCAGACAATTCAACAACATACTCACGAACGGAGTGGAAATTGAATCAGGGAGTGCGCTCTGAGCAGACGTCGCTTACATTTTTATTATTCCCAATATGCGAAAATCACATTAAGGCTACGTTTAAAAACCTGTAATATTGCACGGAGCCCTGGTATTTCCTGGGGGTCTGTTCCGACACTTCCACTCACCACGGTCTGAGACTCCAAAATCCTACCTTGGGAATGCGACCTCTCTGTCTTCCTTCATTCCTGTCCTCTCACTCCATGGGTTCTTCTTGTTCTCATTCATTCATTTGTTCATCCACTCATTCATTCATTCGCTTTTTGAACATTTATTTCTTGAGTCCCTGCTATGGACCAAACACCATTTTGGGTGCTGGGAACAAGTGATGAGACCCTGTTCTTATGGAGCTCAAGGTTGGGTGGGTAAGGGGTGTGTCTGATGGGGCTGAGACAGATAAACAAGAGGGCAAATGGTGGCAACTTTCAAAGGTGATGGAAGCCACAAAAGAAACAGGAAGGTGGAAGAGAGGATGCAGGAAGCATCTGAGTTGGAGAAGCCAGCTTAGCCATTAACCTGGGCTTTCTAGAGTGATCTGAGGACAGATGCTATCAGCTGCTCACGTGTCTGGCACCATGGACCCTAAGTGCATGCTATACTGAGTCAACATGAGGCTCAGGCCGTGGTTCCCAGCCCTGCAATTCCATTTTCCTGCACCCAGATAAAAAGGTGACACCCATTTGAGAGGGAGCGCAGTGGTCCCCACTAATCAATAAACCAAGGAGTTGGCCCTCCCATCCCTGGCACTCACAGCCCTGCCCAAAGTTACTGAGAACCAGAACATCTCAGCAAACAGAGTGTCTGGGGCTTGTGAAAGCCCAGATTGCAGGATCCACCCCAGCACCTGTGCTTCCCGGTCCTTCCATGTGTCACGCCCTTGGGGTGTTCCAACGTGCCTTTCCAGCAAGGTGCTAGGGTGTGTGGAAGCTGCTGGTCTGAGAACCACTGATCAGCACTGACCCGGAGGCTGGCTGGCGGAGGCAGGGCCTGGCAGGTCCAGCAGTGGTGCAGCCCACATACGTTGACCGCTTTTGCTGGGTCTCTTGTCTCCCAGCAGCTTCTTGGTCACTTACTATGAACCAAATGCTCAGCCAGGGCTGGGGGTCCCCAACTTTCAGGGGTCCACTGGGGTTCAAGCCAGTGCTGGGGAGTTTGAGACACCCAGGGCTGCTGAGACTGTCTCAGGGAGGACAAGCATCCCCAGTGGCTCAGCATGGCTTCATCTCCAGTGGGGCTCAGCTTCCAGCAGGTACCAGCACCCCTAGGAAAGTGGGAGTCCAAGATTCTTGGGGAATTGTCTTTGGAGCTGGGTCCATTCACAGACAGCTGCCATCTGTGGGGAAGGAGGGACATGGGTCATGGGAGAATGTGGTGTATGGTTGTTAAAACTGATCACTAAACCTGAAAGATTGAGTTCAAATCCCGATCTCCTCACTTCCTGGTAGTGTGACCTTGTGAAGTTCACTCAACCTCTATGAGCCTCAGTCTCCTCATCTGTAGTGCTGGGAAACATAGCCAGCATTTTCAGTGTTAGCCATCGTTCTGTGGGTCATGGACTCTGTCCCGGGCTCTGGTGTTGGGCACACAGTGGGGAGCAAAGCAGACCAAGAGCTGCTGCTCTCAGGAGACTGCTTTCTAGGAGGGAAGAGGGGACGGTTTTTAAACAGGAGGAGTCAATTAGATGGCATATTCAGAGGAGGTAAGTGCTATGAATGTGGAAAACGTTGGAGAATGAACAGCCCAGTTTCTTCAACAAATACACTGCAAGGAGAAAAACAGATGATTTTAAAAAGATGTAAGGAACAGCTCAGCTCTCATAATCAACCTTGTTTGGATCCTAGTGTGCACAAATCAAGACGAAAACAGGTTGAGAGAATGAAGGACGTCTGATGTGGACTGGAATCCTGGTGACACTAAGCAATGATTGGTGATTTTTGAAGTCATGATAATGGTATTGAGGTTATGTTGGAAAAAATCCTGATTTTGGTGACATTTACAAAACGTTCACAGATGAAATGAGGTAGTGTCCCGGATCTGTTTCAAAACCTCCAGTGGGGTAGAAATCAGTGAAGCCAGACGGACTGTAGGTGGGGCTGTGGGGTGAGTATATGGGGTTGGTTTTACTGTCCTCTCTACTTTTGTTTGGATTGATAATAAAACATTTATAAAGAAATCAAGTCCTGCTCTGGCTTCACATGGCACTCAGAGCGGCCCCCACAGCCCTGTGAGGTCTGCTCCCCAACTTCCTCTTTATCCTCCCCCCCTGCTCACCCAGCACCCACCAATTGGCCTTCTTGTGCCTCCTGAACCACCCAGGCCCACCTCCTGGGGGGCCTTTGTACCTGCTGTCCTCTCTCCCCTTCCCTACAGTTGCCTTCGCTCCCTCCAAAAATTCAAGCCTCTGCTCAAATGTCACCTCTCAGTGACACCTTCCCTGAGTGCCCCACTTAAAATCCAAACCCCATTGAGCACCCTCCTCAGGGTTCCCTGCTTTCATTTCTCACAGCACTTGTACCCTTAGAATAGACTGTACTACATCATTTACTGAACATTTTGTTTGTGGCCCTCACTAGAATGTCAGCTCCATCATGATGGGATTTTTTTGTGTTTTTATTCCCTGCTACATCCTTTGCATCTAGAAAAATGACTGGCACGTAGTGGGTGCTCAAAAAGTCCATTGAAGGAATGAATAAATGCAGACACAGACACTGATGAAGGTCTTACTATAAGGAATACTCAGAAAGGCCTCGGTGGGTCTCTGGGCAATGGGATCATGAGGAACTACTGTTCTCTTCTTTGTACTTTTTAATATTTTTACACGTTTCCATAATGACTAGTAGTTGTTTTTGCAATCTGAAAGAGCAAACAATGATATTTTAAATAAATTTCAAGGGTCCCATTTTTATTGGAATGAAATTAACTCTTTATCCTCCTCTGGCACCATCCCTCTTTATCCTGACTAGTGAAAGAGAAGCAGAAAGTACTCCTTCCTCCTTCCTGCTGAATGCTGGCTCTGGGGAGAGGGCACGTGTTAGTCTGCTCTCATTCTGCTATAAAGAAATACCCAAGATGGGGTAATTTATAAAGAAGGAGGTTTAGTTGACTCACAGTTCTGCTTGGCTGGAGAGGTCTCAGGAACCTTACGATCATGGCAAAAGGGGAAGCAGGCATGTTTTACATGGTGGCAGGAGAGAGAGAGGGAGACTTTGAAGGAGAAACTGTCAAGCACTTATAGAATCATCAGATCTTGTGAGAACTCACTATCATGAGAACAGCATGGGAGGAACCGCCCCCATGATCCATCACCTCCCTCCATTGACACATGGGGATTATAATTCGAGATGAGATTTGTATGGGGACACAGAGCCAAATCATATCAAGCGGGGAGCAGGGGCAGCAGCCTAAGCATGATCCTTCCTTCTCTGACACTGTATATGGCACCACCACCTGCCCAAAGGCCCAGGAAGGAGACTTGCAGGCATCTGAGATCCCTCATGTCCCCCTCGTCCCATGTTCCATCCCTCACTCAATCCGGGGGGGGGGTCTTGTTCCAAAATAGGCCTTTCCCCTTTCTCATGTGACTTTCCAATGTGCCACACATGTCCCTGCAGCTCCAGCAGACTCCTGGTGGTCATCCAGGTCCCAGTCCCAATGTCCCTTCCTTTGAGAGGCCCCCAAGGGACACCACCCAGATCTCCCTCCCCACCACTGTGTATTGCCCCATCTGAAATGACCCTGGGTGGGGTCCATCTTCCCAGCCAGAGCACAGCCCGATTAGTCTCCTTGCTTGTCACAGCCTCCCATACCCGGGGGCTCACAACCCATCTGCTGAATGGATGTGTGCTGATGTGGGAGGTTTGTCCCCTCCAAATCTCGTGTTGAAATAGGATTCCCATGTTGGAGGTGGGCCCTGTGGGAGGTGATTAAATCCTGGGGGTGGGTCCCTCAGGAATAGTTTAGCGCCAGCCCCTTGGTGAAGAGTGAGTTCTCCCTCAGGTAGTTCATGCCACATCTGGTGGTTTAAGAGCCTGGGACGCCCCCTTTTTGCTCTCTCCCTCACCATGTGATACACCTGCCCGCCTTTGCCTTCCGCCATGATTGGAAGCTTCCTGAGGCCTCCCCAGAAACATGCCTGTGCCATGCTCGTACAGCCTGCAGAACCACCAGCCAATGGAACCTCTTTTCTCTGTAAATTACCCAGCCTCACGTATTTCTTCATTGAAATAACATCCTAATATACACATGCCCCGACTCCGCAGCGGTTACCAGGGACTGAGTCCGACATAGGGAAAAGCTTCTGATAGGATGTCAAGTGAAAATCCAGGCTGCAAAATCTATATGTACAGGCTGGCGGCCCCTGTGTTGGAAAACAAAACAAAGTCAACAACGTCTGAGGGGAAAGGAAGAAAGTATTCACTATCTAAACGTCCAACTGTCCCTGGCGGTGAGATTCTGGACAATGTAGGTTTCTTTGTTCTGCTGTTTTGGGCTTTCCGCAGTTTTCTTTAAGGCACACTTACTCCCTTTATGATGAAAAAGAGATAACTAGGAGGCAAAGGAACACTTGCGCCCTCTGCTGTTCATCATCTGCTACTGCAGTGCACCTCCCTGGATCTGCCCAAAGTGGTGTCTGGGGGTGACAGGTGTCCACCCACCCCCTAAATTTCAAAGGAATGGATGTCAAAGGGGATCATGACAGACTCTCCCATCCCCGGGGAGTCTTTCCAAATTCCCCTCAATCCCCTCATCCTCTGCAGAAGACCCCAGAGCTCCACTCCCACACCCCTGTCAATCCCCCCCCCACCCCGCGTCCCCAACCCTCCTAACTCCTCCGTTTACCGTCCCTTGAGGAGTTCTAGGAGTGGGAGGGGTATTAGGACAACAGTCAGGCCTCTGGGTTGAAATGCAGTGTGTCCTTGGACATGTCATTTGACTGCCCAGGACCTCAGTCTCCTCATCCATACAGTGGGACAGTAAGAAGTCAGACTTTCTCAGCCTCAGTGCTGCTGGCATCCCGGGTGGATCACTGGTTGTTACCTGGGCTTGTTTGTGCATTGTAGAAAGTTTAGTAGCATCCCTGGCCGCTACCCACTAGGGGTGCCAGCAGCACCCCCCTGCTCAGCGCCACCAGCCAAAACTGTCTCCAGACATTGCTAAGTGTCCCCTTGGGCACAAACTCGCCCGTGGGTGAGACCACGGCCAGCCTGGTTTCCATCATCACACCTCGAGGCGTGCTACAGTTTTCTGCTGTTAGAAGGTGCTCAGAAAATACCAACTGAAGAATTTAGGGATAATCTGCTCTGAAAAAAAAAAGGAGGAAGGAAGAGCAGGGATTGAAAGGGTGGCCTGGTGCTCTCCTCCCCCGCGTCTCCCACCCCAGCGAGCTGCTGCCTGCAGGCGAGGTCAATTACATCCTGGCCCCATCAGTGTCCCCCTGCCCTTGCCTGAGCAGGCCCCAGGCTGCCGAGGTGGGATGGGCCTCCCAAGCCCCCTTCGCACTGGGCCTGTTGTGCTTGGCCCTGCCTGCTGTCTCCACCGAGAGGAGAACGTATTCAATTAACCTACAAAAACAATAGCAAAAAGGGTCAGATTGATTGTGAAAGAGAAGAGGTGCTGAAAGATTCTGGCAAACAGGCCCCCAGTGGGGGTGGACAAGGGCAGGCAGAGAGCTTGGCTAAAGTGGGAGAAACCTCAGCAACGTGGAGGCACTGGTGTCCCCTTGAGGGGACAAGGCCAGCTAGGAAAACAGACTTACTCCATTCCTTGGCCTGTGGGCCTCCCATTCGAGAGTGCGGAGGCAAGGAAAACACAGCCGGAGCCAGGTCTCCCGGTTTTCTTCTAGGCTGGCTGGAGGGGGGCACAGAGAAGCTCAGGAAGTGCTTGCGGCCCTGGGGGTCTTGCTGGGGCTGGGACGGGGGTGGATTCTTACCTCCTCAGTTCCTGGGGAGAGAAGATCTTCCTATCCCCAAAGCCTAGAACTCAGGGAGCCAGAGATTAACATAGAGGAGGGTTCTGCTAGGCAGTCTCTCTGTGGCTGGAACTAAGGCCCCTGCCCTGTGGCCCTCCCCTGGGGAGAGTGGCCTCTGCTGCCAGCAAAGATCCTCAGGGACTAAGGGCCAGGCACTGTGCCAAGCACTCTGTACACTTTACCCTACTTCATCCTCCTGATCCCACTCTGTGATAGCCTCTACTATCCGTTTATGTGCACATAGTAGGTACGCATATTTCTGTGTACTTACTATGTGCATATTTGTTGAGCACTTACCAGTGCCATGTTCTATGCTTGATGGTAGAAATTCAATGATGAGAAAAAGCAGATGTGGGAATGCAGAGCAGCTATCAGGCTCCTACGTCACTAGTGGGAATGTGAAATGGTGCAGCCGCTCTGAAAAACGGCATGGCAGTTTCCCATGATGTTAAACACACACTCGTACGATCCTGCAGTCCCACTCCTGGTGTGTAACCTACAGAAATGAAGACCTTTGTTCATGCAAAAACCAGTACATGCAGGGCTAGAGCAGCTTATTCCCAATCACCAAGAACTAGAAACAACCCAAATCCCCTCACCTGGGGAATGGATCAAACGGTGGCTCATTCATTCATAGGATAAATTACGTACGAGTCAGCAATCAAAAGGAGCAGACCATCTACCGACGGACAACACGGATGAATCTCAGAAGCATTCTGCTGCAAGAAGGAAACCCGCCCCCACAGGCTGCAAGCGATGTGTCTTTTATATGACATCCTGTTGAATAGAAAAGGCAGGACTGCAGGGGAGAGATCAGACCCATGATGGACAATGGGCAGGGTGGGAGGAGGGCCTCACTATCCAGGGGCCACTTGAAGGTATTTTTGGAGGTGATGGAATTGTTCTGTGTCTTGATTCTGGTGATGGTTGCGTGACTCTGTGTATTTATCAAAGCTCACAGAACTGTGTTCCAAAGCATGAATGTTACTGTGTGTGAATTAAACATAAATTAAAAAACAAACAGCAGCTGGGCACGGTGGCTCACGCCTGTCATCCCAGCTACTCAGGAGGCTGAGGCAGGAGAATTGCCTGAACCCAGGAGGCGGAGGTTGCGGTGAGCCGAGATCACACCATTGCACTCCAGCCTGGGTAACAAGAGTGAAACTCCGTCTCAAAAAAAAAGAAGTGGTCTCATGGTGCCTGCAATTGAAGGTGGAACCCACAGGTTTTTCAGGGTGGTTGAAGGTGAGTCATGGGTGAATGAGAGTTCGAGAGGCTAACTTCAGTATTTGGGGCTCAACTTCTGGAGGAATGGGCGCTGTATGTACAAAGATGGGGAAAGTGGCTGGAGAAACAGATTCGAGGAGAAAACCACGAGTTATTTTATCATCATCAATTTAGCGATGAAGTCACTCAGGTCCAAAGAGATTGACTGACTCCCTTGCGCAAACTCACCCAGCCAGTGTGGGATGGAGATGAAGTTGGAAACAGATTTGTCTGACCCCTGAGCTCTGTCCCCTCTGCAGGCTCCTACTCTAGACTGAGAAATGACTGGGTTCAGTGATACTCAAAATGGGGTCCCCTGAGCTTTAGAAATGCAGATTCTTTGGTTCCAGCCAACGGGGCATTTGCCACGTGCCTGTGTTATTCACAGGGGCTTCGTGTCATCAAACGTGCTTTTGGCTGCAAGTAATCTACGTCTAAAAGAGGTTCATCTGCAAGTTTCCCAGAAAGTGTATCATATCAGAAGAAGTCCTTAATTTGGGCTGGGCATGGTGGCTCACACCTGTAATCCCAGCGCTTCGGGAGGCTGAGGCAGGAGCTTGCTTGGTGTGTTTAAGGAACAGCAAGGAGACCACGGCGGCTGCAGCAGAGTAGGGAGAAAATGTATACCTACTATGTGCATATTTGTTGAGCACCTACCAACAAATATGAATCACTTGAGGTCGGTAGTTGGAGACCAGCCTGGCCAACATGGTAAAACCCCGTCTCTATTAAAAATACAAAAATTAACTGGGCGTGGTGGTGGGCACCTGTAATCCCAGCTACTAAGAAGGCTGAGGCAGGAGAAGAGAATTGCTTGAGCCAGGGAGGCATAGGCTGCAGTGAGCTGAGATCATGCCACTGCACTCCAGCCTGGGTGACAGAGTGAGACTCTGTCTCAAAAAAAAAAAAAAAAAAGTCCTGAATTTGATAATTCCAAGATTAATGGAATTAACCATCAGTTGGGCTGGTTAATCTGGCAACTCAACTATGTCAGACACAAAGATGGGGTCTCTACAATTCTCTTGGTCTTTCCCTTGCAATCACAAGATGGCTGCTGCAGCTCCAGACATTCTGACAACATCCAAAGATAAGACAAACAGAAGAGAAGTGTCTCTATTTTATCACACACATAAAAACTCTGTTTCAGAAGCTCCCAAAAGACATCCACTTGCGTCTCAGTAGCCAGAACCCCGGGCAGGTTCCTGCCTATAAACCAGCTACTGGCAGAAGGGAATGACTTAGCTCAATCACAATTGATGCCCTGGAGCTGGGGCTGAAGCATCTCTCCATTGAGCACATTGTTATCTGCTGTGCACAGAACAAATTGAGTATTCTCTTAGCCAAGGAGGGAAGCTGGCTTTCCAGTAGACCAGCAATCTGTCTGCCGCAGGCCTCTGCATATGCTTTTGTGCATTATCTTATGTGTATATGTGTAACCATATCAAATAAACTTACATCCTAGTCACAGAGAAGCACCACCAGAACTGATAGCAGAAGAGGTCAGAAAGAAATTATTAAGCTTGGGTCCTTCTATCAGATCATACAAGTTACTGTTTTAAAATAAATCCCACCATCTCTGCTTGGCACTGTTAGGTTGCTGTGCATATGAGGCAGAGGTGTGAGTCGCAAAATTTAACCTTGTAAGAGTGACGTCAATCTCGGTAATTGCTTTAGGCTTTCTTTTCCTTCTCTCTCTCCTTTCCAGTCTTTCACTATAGACAGGGTTCAGGCTTTTTTTGCTGAGAGACCCTACTTAATCCCACAACAGTCTGCAAGGTGGGTTTGATTGTTTCTGCTGCATGGATAAGAACACAGGTCGGCGTGCAGCAGGGCCCCACCCCCCGCCCCCGGGCCAGTCCCCACCCTCCACCAGCTGTCTCCTCCAAGGACCTACGGAGTGGACTCACCCTGATTCCACTATGGAGCATTCAGGAAGGGAATCCTGGTATTTCATTGACAAGGCTGGCAGACTGGACCAAGCTGGAAATAAGACTTGCCCTTGTCACTCACAGGGGACCCTTAAGACTCCCCTGCGGCCCCCCGTTTCCTGTACACACTCAAAATTACATCCTTCAAGAAAAGCTATGAAAACACATTTTAAATAGATGCCTGGCGCGCCCTCGTGTGTCTCCATGGTGTAATATCATTGTAAGGTTTTCAAAACAGGTTTAAAAATAATGATGGCTGCTGATATATGTCAAGCACTGATATGCCAAGAAATGTATAAAGAAATGTAAATGCACAGTTTCGGCTTTGATATAAAATTTTTCTGCTGAAGAAACTATATATGACCACGGTTAAAAAAAATTACACATGGTTCGGGCTCGGTGGCTCACAACTGTAATCCCAGCACTTTGGGAGGCTGAGGCGGGTGGATCACCTGAGGTCAGGAGTTCGAGACCAGCCTGACCAACATGGTGAAACCTCATTTCTACTACAAATACAAAAATTAGCCGGGCTTGGTGGCACACACCTGTTGTCCCACCTACTTGGGAGGCTGAAGCAGGAGAATCGTTTGAACCCAGGAGGCAGAGGTTGCAGTGAGCTGAGATCGCGCCACTGCACTCCAGCCTGGGTGACAGAGGGACACACAGGACACAAAGATTTACAGCAAAGTCTTCTCCTCCCACACTGTTCCGCCTGTGTGGGAAGGGCACACACTAATATTGGACAGTGCACAACCTGCCCAACCTTTCACCATAACACTGAAATGGGTCCATGTGCAAATGTATCTGTGGGACAAATTCTTAGACTCGGAATTGCATGTGTATGCAGCCCTCTATTGGGGGCACTTTGAATCATAGCACTGGCACTACTTGCACTGGCAGAAGTTTACCGCATTATTTCCTTCACTCAATAAAGTACTATGAAGCACCGAGTGAATACAGGGCACTTGACATCGAGGTCCTCTTTGCTGGTAGCATGAGGGTAGATATGAGTTCAGACCTTACATCCTATCCTCTCAGCAATCCAGTACCAAAAGTTTTTCTTATGAGCTTTAAAACTTATTCCCAGGATCCAGATCACTGGCTTTGATTGGCTTAGCTTTGGCCACACCCTCATCCCTGAACCAATCATTGTTGCTGGGATGGTGGGGATGGAGTGCTCTTATTGGCTAAATAGGAGATGGGCAGAGTCCCTGAGGAGAAGATCGGCAAGAGCTATCACCTTGGCGGTGAATGGAAGTGGATGGCGTCCAAGCCCGTTTCTGTGACTCCACCCCTCACAGAAAGTCTATGGGACTCTCTGCCTTGTATGAGTGATACTGTTAGAAAGTGGCAGGAACACGAAAAGAAAATGTGGGCGTTTTCCATATTTGAGTTGATGCAGGCTAGAGACAACAGCTGCCAGAGCTGCAAGGTGAACACCCTGAGAAGTGGAACTGGAGGATCCAGGTGCCTGTTGAAGGGATAAATGAACGCTATGGTGTGAGGATGGGACTCTTTTTGTCTTCTGTTTGGCTGAAGCTCCAAACGCCAGGAGTAACCCATGGGTAGCAAGCACTCTTCCCTCGACCTCCGCAGGAATTGCAAAAAGCAACGTAAAAAATTGATCTGTGACCTTAGCCCAGTGCTCAAGGAGGTTGGAGAAGCTGAAGAGAAAACTGGTTTTGATATGGTTTGGATTTGTGTCTCCACCCAAATCTCCCCTGTGTAATCCCAGTGTTGGAGAAGGGACCGGTGGGAGGTGATTGGATCGTGGGGGCAGAATTCCCATGCTATTCTGGTGATAGTGAGTGAGTTCTCATGAGATCTGGTTGTTTAGAAGTGGGTAGTGCCTCCCACTTCTCTCTCTTCCTCCTGCCCCAGCCATGTGAACATGTGCCTTTGCCTTGTACAGCCTGTGGAACCATGGGCCAGCTAAACTTCTTTTCTTTGTAAATTACCCAGTCTCAGGTATTTTTTATAGCAGTGTGAGAAAGGACTAATACAGGTTTGGAGACACGTCTTTGGAGAAACTATTAATAATTGGGGTCCTGTGGCATTTCCTTGCCATGAGCACCTCTAACACTATGCTGGAGAAAAAGCCGTTCCAACTCTTCACCAAATGCTGAGTCAGAGAGATGTGAGGAAACCACCCAAAGAACTTGCCCTGTGGTTCTGGACAGACCAGGGCCAAACCCATGCCTGGGAACGGGCAGAAGTTAGGGACCACGGGCGCTCAGCCTCTGCAGGATAATGGATTCGTGCATCAGGAGTGATGGCCCCAGAGCAGGCCAAAGGTGTAAGTTCCTTCCAGCAGGTTCTGAACCTCAGAAGCAGCCAGCCTGGGGTTATTTGGGATTCCCAGTGTAGGACTGCCTGAAAATGTGAGGGACCCAGATGGGGCTGCTGGGCCACAGGATGCCCGGGACCCACGGGCAACTCAAGAGTGGCCATCCAGAGGAGACACATTGCCTGCATCCCAGGAAGCAAATCTGGAGGTTGCCAGTGGGAGAAATGCCAAGAACCGCCATCCCTCCCCTGGGACCCACAAGCTAAGGAGAGAAGGAATTGGCCCTCTAAGCTCAGAAAGCACAGGGTCACATCATCACAATGACAGCAAAGTAAAACGACCCTGTGTTTCACCTCTTCAGAGCCCAAGGAGGCTGGGGAGGAGAAGAAATGAGAGTGGAGGAGTGGAGACGTGTAATATGAATAAAGTTCGGAGTTTTGACATGACTCGACATTTTAATGACTTAGACTGTTATGACACTCAGAAGTGACTTGGAGACGTTATTATTTTCCTCATCACCATATCGTTATTTATCATGATCTAAGGGTGAGGAGAAGGGCCAAGGATCTGCCTAATGGATCATTCAGGGCAGGTAAAGAACTATCCCACCAGGTGTGTTTGAATGGGAGGTGGGAGGGAAAACCAAGTTGCTACTTGCACCCCTCTAACTTCCAACTTCCACTCTTTCAACATACCAGACACAAAAGCCAGGTAAATGACTTCAAAAGATACAGCGATGACAGGGCAGGTGGTGGTACTTCTTGGTTCCCTACATTGCATGGCACGAGGCTTTGAATTGGGTTTTAGAATGGGTGACACTGGAAGACTAGAAATCTCAGGTGCCGACATGTGGGCCGGATTACGATTGTCTTCAAAAATTAACCCACGATGGGATCAGACAAGTTAGTATGGCCATAGGTGCTACAATGGAAGAAAGCTTTAAATGCTGTTCAGATCATAAGACATGGGTCAAAAGGAGCAATGAAGAGTTGATACGAGGCAAACATTTCATACCTCCGTCCAAGAGCTACCTGAGCAGGTTTCAACCATCAGGGACGCAGTGAGAACTTACTGGGTGCCCAGCACTGTGCAGACACGATTCAAGGAAAAGGTAACCAACTCTGGCATCCAAGTGCAGGGCAGCAGCCAAGTTCTTCCCCCTTATGAGCTGACATCTGATTGACAGATGGCCCCAGAGAAAGCTTCTTGGATCACATCTCAGTAACCACTGGCCCAGCCTGTCAAATCCTGAGATTTAGGATGGCATATAGGACCTTAAATCTGGAAGAATTTAGCAACCTCATAATGTCAACTCCAGGGGGAAAATATGCACACAGAGAAACCAGAAAAGCACAGAATGGTGGGGAGAAAGAAAGAAGATGAAAACACTCTGTTTCCATCGGCAGAAGTAGCTTTGCCAGGAAAACTGGAATGTTGACTTGGTAGGCACATAATTCATTTTTCTACACACTCAGAAGTAAAGTAAGAGCCAGACCCTGAGAGAAATTGCGGATACTGTTCGTAACATTGGCAAAGACAATGTAATTGTGCACTCAACCTCATGTGAAATGCTTGATAATCTCAAAAGGTAAATGCCACAGCATTTTATATGCTGTGTGGCCTCAATGACGTTAGAGTGTGTATGTATCCCAATACCTGTCCTCGTTTCTAACTGGCCTGATTTATCATCATAGACAAAAGAGTAGATGAATGAATATATGCCAAAATGTTGTTGGTATCTGGTAGGACATGGGCAGTTTTATTTTTGATCTTTATAGTTTTCAAAAGTACTAAAAATTATTTTTAATTTTTTTCTTTTACTGTAATAGCCCTTTGATTATAGAAACAAGACATGAATGAGAATTCACAGAAACACATATACAGTACAGAAGGTTCTTTTTCTTTTTTTGGGGGGGCGGGGGGAGACAAAATCTTACTCTGTTGCCCAAGCTGAAGTGCAGTGCCATGATCTCGGCTTACTGCAACCTCCACCTCGCAGGTTCAAGCAATTCTCCTGCCTCAGCCTCCCAAGTAGCTGGGATTACAGGCACGAGCCATCATGCCCGGTTAATTTTTGTATTTTTAGTAAAGATGGGGTTTCATTATGTTGACCAGCCTGGTCTCGAACTCCTGACCTCGTGATCCGCCCACCTCGGCCTCCCAAAGTGCTGGGATTACAGGCGTGAGCCACCGCACCCGGCCCACAGACTCTTTCTATGAAACATACCAGGATGGAAAAGCGCTAGTAATCTGTACCAAACATGGAAAGGGAGTGTCTGTGACTCTGCGCCACCTGGTGGCTCCATTGCAGAATGCAGGCCCGTCATAACCAGATCTTTTTCAAGAGAAGCCAGAAATACCAAGTTCTCTGAAAAATATTCCAAATTTCAAAGGCTGGCAACTAACTAAAAAATTTTTAAAGTAATGTCTGGAGCAAATAACAACATTTGAGGGCCAGTGTTCAAAGCATTGAGGCCTCTGCTTTAAGAAACAGATGTTGAGTGTTGTATATATTATCAATGTCTAGGGAAGAGATGAGGAATTTTGTTCATATGCCTTCCCTCTACTGCCCTGTATGCCTCTCAGCCTCTTGTTTTTATTAGTTATATTATCACTAATTCTCTTACCAGTGGCCTTTATGGTTTTATGTAATATATTTACACTCCATTTTTCAATTCTATGAACTTTTTACAGCATCGACGATGAAAAAGGAAGAAAATCCTTCTTTTACCTGTTTGGTGCTAATGATTATACTTTATTATTATTGTATGTCTGCAACGTTCCAGGAACTTCACATTCACTCATTCATGTATTTACTCAACAAATATTAAATATTAGTTGTCTACTTATGTGCCATGCACTT